TGCACACATTTATAAGAATACTGTCAAAAGATAACACAAACTTACCGTGCTTTATAACAGGTGCTGAAAGTGACCCCCTTCTGCTTGCAAACATGCTTCGCATCGCATGAATAAATTATGCGTCACTTTCTGAAGTTGGTCCACGGTAATTGAACCATATTACTGTTCATCACTTGACTCGTTACTGTCGATGTCGCTCTCGCTCGAAGTTTCGCTGTCAGGTGATGTCAGCCATACAGCGTCATCTTCAGTCCCGTCCATTGCGTTGGAAATGGATGTGACTTTAAAACTTTTGGAAACCATTTCTTCTGGTATGGTGTTCCATGCAGCCACAATCCACTCACACATTTGACTTAATGAAGGTTTCTTCAATCGTCCAGTCGGCGTCATCTCCGTGGAACCGCATCTCCAGTCCCGGTAAAAGCGCCGCAAATGAGACTTGAAAGGACGGTTTATTGACACGTCAAGTGGTTGTAACATGCCAGTCATCCCCCCTGGTATCACAACCATATCACTTTTCTCCTGCCTCATCTTCACTTTCACATTTTCAGTTAAATGGCTTCGAAAACTGTCAACCACTAACATTGACCGCTGACGTAAAAGTGCGCCTGGGCGCCGAAACCACACTGATTTCAACCAATCCAGATAGAGCTCTTCTGTCATCCATCCTTTTTCTTGAACTCTCACCAAAATTCCCGGTGGAAGCTTTTCTTTCGGCAATGTTTTGCGTTTGAAGATTACAAATGGTGGTAGTTTGTTTCCATCAGCAGTGATACCAAGCATTACGGTACACCGCTGCTTTTCTGCTCCTGCAGTCCGCACATGCACTGTTTTTTCGCCTGCTTTGTTCACTGTACTTTCACCCGGCATTTCAAAGAACACAGGAGTTTCATCAACATTTCCAATAGCTCCCATGGTGTAGTTGTGCGTCTTTCTTAATTTCAGGACATGTTTTTGAAATGCAAGCAGTTTCTCCTGGTATGTGTCGGGAAGGCGCTGCGCTATTGACGTCCGTCGCCGAATTACAAGATCATGTCGGGCCATAAAGCGCCTTGCCCATCCATAACTTCCCTTAAATTCATTACGAGGAATTTTCATTCTGTCCGCTATTTTGAGGCCTTCAAATTGAATCATTTCCACAGACACTGAAAATCCATCCGCCCGTGTATTACGCACGTATCGCAAAAGTTTATTTTCAAGTTCTGGAAATTTAGCTTTCTTTGCGCGGAAAGATTGTCGAGTTTGTGACGTTTTTTCAAGGGCATCTTTCGTTAGTATCCATCTTCGCACATTTTTTCGTCAACGTCGAATTTTCTCCCTGCTGCTCGATTTCCGTGTTCTTGTGCGTAACGCACCACTTGAAGTTTAAATTTAGACGTATAACCTGCTCTTACTCGACCCATGTTTCACTCAGAACTAACCAGGCAAGTCAAGTAAAGGCGAAAAGGTTATAACTCTCCCCCGCAATGCCTTTGTTCCGAGCGGTACCGTTATTTTCGCTAGTTGCGAACTTAGGAATGTTAAACGTTGCCAAATTTCGGAATAATTTCTACTCCTGAAATAATATTCCAAGAAAATTATTTTTTCTATAATTTCTGTCTGAAAATTGTGCTGCGGCCTATACACGCACGCGGCCTATACATGCGTAAATACGGTATTACTTAGGTCTGCTTAAGGCCGTGCCATAGCTCAAGCGGTTAGTCGCTGGCCTCCCACCGCGGCGGTCCGGGTTCGATCCCGGGTCTGGTCAAGTGGGATTTGTGGTGGACAAAGTGGCGCTGGGGTAGGTTTTCTCCGAGTACCGGTTTACCCTGCCAATCTTCATTTCACCAGTTGCTCACCCTCACCTATCATCTGGAGCTGGTACAATAGTCCAGAAGTGGTCACAGTACAAGGGACTTAGTCCCACCCCACTAGCAATAAAAAAAATGGGTCTGCTTGCTTGCGTGTAAGCATGTATTCTCTTCGCAACTGTCTGGTGCTCAGCCAGAGTAAGGACACAGTGGAGACAAACATGTAAACAGCACAGATAGGGACGTGTGTTAGGGTTCGCGTGCTTAATGCCGGACTGTTCGCTAGAAGTCAGTTTGCATCCGCAAGGTTTTCCGTGGTTTTCCTTGGTCCTAGAGCAAATGCTGAGATTGTACACAAATTCTACGTTGCACTACAATCCTCACATGCAGTCCTCCCAATGTCATCAAAATGTCACCATAACGCAGCCCTTCCAGCGTCGTATAAAAATTTAGTTCCGCTCATATGCATGAACACTACCAGAAGGACAAGTGGGCACTGCCTGGGAACCATCAAAACCGGAAATGTAGTTTCTAGTCTCCCCCTCAAATGTAGTGTATCTCACTACCTCCCCACTTTGTTTCTTTCCTTCTCTTTCTTTCTGTGAAGCGTCGAAGTGTTAAATGCGAATCGTGCTATGATGTCACAGCGCGTCGCTATGACGACACACGTGTTGAGCTGTCTCTCTGCCGGCACGGTTCCGAAACTGCGGCCTATAGCGCTTGGACGTCAAGGCAGTATGCTGTTGTATCGGCATGTATTCCTTCGGGCCAAGCATCGCTCCTGCTTCCTGAATTGGGGCGTTCTTGGTCACCTTCGCTGTAACAGGATACTGTTTTAGTGGAGTTACTCAAGATACGCGGGTTCAAACCCGGCGGAGGTCGTGGAATTTTTAAGGGCGGAAAAATTCAGGGAACAAGTCCTCCGGGAGGGACTTGTAAGCCGTGGGTCCCGTACGGCACGTAAAAGATCCCCATGTCTCTAGGAGACCTCTGAGCAAAATTAGGCAACAAGTTTCCCGCCCAAGTAGTTTCCAATGCCTCTGGTAGATGGGGGAAATATCAGGTACCGAGGGCCGACCTCGTTGGCTGAACGGGGCTGATAGCACGCACCAGTACCGGTAAGGTATGGCGACAGTAGAAATTAAAGGGGGACGCACAATGGACTAATAACTGGTCTAAGTGCATGGGGAAACCAACCCCCTCTAATAATAATAATAATAAAATAATAAATAGTGGAGTTAGAGACATAGAAACTAGAGTGGCCTGAAAATTCAGGCTCTGGCGGACGCAAGGTATGACCGGCTGGTGCAGACTGCTTCGGAAACTGGGAACTGGACACCCCTCGTGAGTAATCCAGTTCAATCAAGGCTTTGATTTGGTGAATCCACGCCCAGCTTTGGACTCACGACCACTTTGAGCGCCCTGTCTGCGGTCCTGTGGCCGCTCTGTTCACACAGATGTTGGCAATCTGGCGACTTGCGCTTTCGTGTAGTTGACATAGGCCACAGGGGGCTCGAGCGAAATGCAACAGCAGCCAGACAGGTGAAGTTCTCGAGTGTTGTCACCCATGAGGCTTCTTCCTGTCGCCTCAGTGCGATAATCTGGAAATGTTTATAATTTCAAGAAAACAAACAACGCATAAGAGAATGTCCATATCCGTCCGCACATTCCAGCCGGAGAACTGCCTGACGGATTCTGGCAAATGTTTACGTCGCCATTATGTCATAGAAGGTGAAAGGTAAAAAAAGTAAAATTGTCCTGTGCTTAACTACTTAAGCACTATACCATGAAGGCGAACAGGGGAGTGCACATGTAACGCCACTACTCTTGCCCTCGGCACTAGCTGGAGGTGAGTGATCAGCTTCAAGCCCCGACCGCTTTGCTGCCAGAGAAAAATCTGTCGGTACCCATTGGATAGGAGGCTGGGTGGGCCCCACAGGCGGTACTGGTCATCGGAATTTTGTACTTTTACAGTAGAAGCTTTTGATATAGGATTCGCTGCAGCGCAAACTTCTGAATGGAGATGGAGGCAGTACATTATTCCGAAACGTCGGCGAACTCTTTATCAAACTACATTTCGTCACCGAACCGGCTAGTCTAGAGGCGACATTGTAGGTTTATATTCAGTAGACGATCTGTTCTGTTCATCTGAGTACTCAGGCCTTCCGTCCTCCCAGGAGAATTCTGGGATAGGACTACCATTAGACCATGGCTGCGTCCTTCCAGATCTTCCAGATACTATCCAATTTATCTTCTGATGCTCTGTAGCCTGGGGGATGAATTCGTTGTTGGATGCACAGCGCGTCTCTTCCCAGAGGGCGCCGGCACTCGGCCGAAACATGTAGTTGTGTTCTGTAGCACGACAAACAGAGAGGGCAATGAGTTGCCTTGAAACCGGACGGCAAGATGCAAAACAGCTAATTGTACCGTCGTCACGGCGGAAAACATAAATCATTGGCAACGAATGAAACAGACGAACGGAGGGGGGATATGTGACGTCATCTAAAGATAAACAATGTGTATTAATGATCACGGTCGCCTGGCCAAGCAGCTCATTTGCGTTTCAAATCTCGAATGCAGCCGCTTCTGTTCGGCGACATTTATTATCCTCTAGAAACTAGGCGTCAGGGTTATTCTACCGGGGGTCACCAAATATGGTCACATTCACGCACCAGACTGCAGGCCGTAAGGACCTATCTGCATAGCGTTAACATAAGGACGAAACCCGAAAGTGAGAGTAGCAGTATGTACAGAGTGTGCCATAATTACCTCTTGCCCTGTGTTGCAGTCTGGCCGGGGCGTTTTGTACCGCTCCTTAATCGCTCTTATGATGACAGCATTTTCAGGCGCATGTTGGGTATATGGTACACGAGTATATTGCGTGTCCAACTATCCGTTTTTCGCAGTGTGTTGTAGGCTGACTGGGGAGCGCTGTCGACTGCCGAAGTGCTGTTGGTCCCTCCCATGAAGACGGCCTTTTGCAGGCTCCAGATTTAAGCACGCGAGAATAACATATACCGCATGTCCCACAAACTACCTCAGTTTCCCTCTCTGCGTTACAGGCTGGATGCGGGCTTCCTTCATCGCTTAGCGCTGTTTTTCTCTCCTAAGACGATTGTGTTTTGCAGGTACAGTATCATAACAAGTGACTAACGATATATACCGCATGTCTCACAAACTACCACAATTTCCTGAATTGTGTTGCAGGCTGGCTGGGGGCGCTTTCAACAGCTGTAGCGCTGCTGATCTCGCCTGTAACAATAGCGTTCTGCAGGCGTAAGTCAACCCGAGTAACAGCCGTGCTAGGCGGGCTGGTCACTGCACTGGGGTGCCTGTTTACGTCATTCGCCTCTCAGTTTCACCAGTTGTTCTTCAGCTATGGGACTGTCATAGGTACGTCGTAATGTCACAACTGGAATCATACAGTGTTACGCAGGATCTGACAAGTGATGAAGTTGGTTGGTGGTGTGGTGCATTACATCTGTGTGTTATTCAGGCCACCTGTACTGAAGCCATAGAAAGAATTCCCATGAATCAACCTCCTCCACATCCTGCCTTCATCTGTTATGTTTCCCTTTTCAGTATATTTAAACTTATTCCCCTCCAGTCATGTAGCCGTTCTGTTGATGCTGATTATGGTCACCTAGACTTGCTGACCTAGGCCAGAGGAATTGGGTGGGAATGTAGCAGTAGGAACAGAGTAAGGACCCCAGAGTCCACAAGATGCATGTCCTTAATCTCAGTGCAGTAGTGTAAGGGAAGTGAAATCAAGCCTATTACAAATAGGCTGGACAGCAGGTAGCGTGGAGAAACAAGAAATGTGTCTAGAATTTCGATCGGCATATCTATTAGAAGCATTCACTTGTGCTCAAAATTTTGGTCGATATTGTTAAACTGGATTATACCACTGTTTCAGGTATTGGTGTTGGTATGACACGTGACTGCTCCACACTGATGGTGGCACAGTACTTCAAGAGACGTCGTGAATTTGTGGAAATCTTCATTGTTTCAGGGAGTGGCCTGGGGATAGCTGTCATGTCAGCCTTTATCAAAGGGGCCATCAGGTACTGCTCACACATTTTTCAGTGTTACCTATGCATCCCAGTAGAAAATTAATTGTTTTCCAATATAGCGTAGTTGGCTGGATGACCAAGGGGTTGGGACCTGGTAGGGTCAAGAATTTTTTATTCTCCATGTTGTCAAGATGAGCTCTGGGACCCACCTAGCTTCCTATCCAATAGGTACCAGGAGCTCCTTCCCCAAGGAAGAAGCATCTGGCGTTTGAAGCTGACCATTCACCTCCAACTACTGCTAGGTGATGAAAATGTGGATCTATACATCCATTCCCCATACGTCTTCATGATGTAGTGTTTAATTAGTTAAGCACAGGCACAATTTCACATTTTTCTACCCAAGAGTGCTAGATGAATACAGAGATCTAGTACAGGGCTGCTAGAGTATCGAGTGGCACCTACAAGTTCATGAAGCCTGCAGGTAGGAAGGAAAATGCTGGACAGAAACCAATGGGGGAGCACTGCTGAGGATGTTATAGCCTCACAGGGCTGACTCGCCACAGAATGAGAACAAGAAGCAAGTTCCAAGCCGCCAGAATTTGCATTGTTACATCCTGGCCAATAGGGCTCCAGACCACTCAGTGTACTCTGTACTTCTGTTATTGTTTCAGTGCAATTGGCTGGAGACTGGGGCTGCAGGCTGTCACCGGAGTCGTGTTCCTTACCTTTATTCTTGGCACCTTCTACCGCTCTGCGTCTCTCTATCACCCACAGAGACGCGCCATCTTGCATCTCAAGAACCAAAAGCGGAAGATCAAGGACAAGAACAAGGTTGATGACAGACCCCCATTCTTCGACTTCAGCACTCTGCGTAGTAAGACAGTGCGCATCCTCTTGGTTTCAACTGGCATCAGCTCCTTTGGTATCAACACACCCATCTTCTACCTGGTCAGTTACTTGTTTTCCTAACTACAAACCATCCGATATCATCATTCTGCACAAGAATTGTGTATATTGTGAAGATAAAAATTTTAGAAGCATCTATAGAAGTCCACAGCAGTACCCCCACCTCATTATTTTGCATGGCACCAATATTTTTGATACATAATTAAAGAAAACAGAATTAATGTATCAGTTCATGTTTTGGCATTCATGGTGGTTGTTTATAAGTGTCAGCACAGAACAGGTGGCAATATTAACACCTCACATTCCTCGTGGAGTGAAGGTGAGGAAAACAGTTTCAGAAGCTATTCATAGTAATCACAGACCGAGAGAAATTTGTGTAGACTACATGCATTACACCTGTGTTGTAATAGGTAGAGAATTTTATATTTTGAAATAATATTGTATTGTAGCAGCTCATCATCATCATCATCAGTAATCTGTCAAGACGACAGGTCCACAGTCTCTTTCAAAACAATTCCTCCACTTAATGCGATCTAGAGCTTTCTCCTTCAAATGACAGTATCCTCTTCTGTCCCCAAGGTCATCCAGCATCTTCTTACGTCTTCTTCCTCGTCTTCTTGTCACTTCTATCCGCCCATCTATCTTTCCTTTGATAGCTTCTTTTAGAAGGCAGTTTCTGCGTAAAACATGACCAATCCAATTAGCCTTCCGTTTTCTTATTTCATGTAGGATATTCCTCTGCTCACTGACTCTAATTAACACTTCTTCATTTCTCACATAATCGGTCCAACTGATCTTCTCCATTCTTCTCCAACACNCATGGCAATCCTGGATTTAATTTCACAAGTACACCTTCCATCATCTGTTAACAAGCTACCCAAATATTTAAAACATTTCACATTCTCCACTTGTTTTTGGTCTATCTTTATTGTGACTGGGGTTGGTTGTCTCGAAATTTTCATTACTTTTGTTTTCTCCACATTCATTTCCATGCCATAGCCATAAATAAGTGATGAGCTGTAGCAGCTCATCACTTATTTATTCCTGTTAAATTATTATTGCTTTTTAAAACCTTTAAAAGTTCTAAAAAGCAAGTTGCATATGAGTTGGATAATAATTGACAGGAATAAATTTATACTTCGAAATTGCAGGACTAAAGGTAGTCGAGCAAATGTTAGCTACCTGTCTACTTCGCTACACAGTGTCACATCTCAGAAGACTGTAACCTTAATACTGACTGCTGTCAAAACCTCAAATCTCACAGAATAATCAGAGCCTATTTTGGTAACCAGCTCTGAAATATAGCAGATTTGAGGTTTTCATCATGGTGACCATGAAGATTGCTGGCTGCATGGATGTGACACCATGCTCTCTAGTAGAGAGTTGCCAGCATTTTGGAGGAACTTACCCTGAGGATGCAAGCATGAGGTCTCTCTGAATTGTTGGTAACATTCTACCAGACTACACGGTGTCACATTCCAGAAGGCAGTAATCTTCAGTACTTAAATAAGACGTGCGTTAACAACAGAAACAGAAAACAGAAATGTATATGGCTATTATGTGTGGTGCACATAAGTATCTTAGTCCTTAAAACTGTTAAAACATGAAAATCTTGTTTAAATTGAATGATAGAAAAGTACTCATCAGTTAATTAGTGTTTCTTGTTGTGCTCACACACGAGAAGTGGTTACTGTAACCAGGATTTCTCAACACTTCTGATGCATTGACCAGTAAAATGGTGATCTGTTCTCAGAGAGCTATTCTTTACCCTGTGCCTTATAATATGCTATGCAGATTTAGTGATCATTACGGTATCTGACTGTGTTTATTTATAATATTAGAAGTTAAAAAGATTTGTGTGGTATTACAATATAACAGTAAGTAAGTAAGTGAAGTAATGGTATCCCTGTAACAGGCCGTGGAGGTCCATAGGGTTGCAAGATGTTGAGGTTCCCACATTTTCTAGACAATCGGCTCATAGATGGCGGTAAGCTTGCTAGCCGTACACACTGGCCGATCTTTAGCCCCAAGAATATTCCAATAACATTCCTGATATTCACTTCTGTTAGAGGCTGAGTCAACCCCAGGGCCATAGTGTGGCTGGAAGTATTAAGTCAATTGAAAAAAATCCAGTGACCTCATCATCATCAGTAATCTGTCAGACGACAGGTTCACAGTCTCTTCCAAAACAAGTCCTCCACTTAATGTGATCTAGAGCTTTCTCCTTCAAATGACAGTATCCTCTTCTGTCCCCAAGGTCACCCAGCATCTTCTTACGTCTTCTTCCTCGCCTTCTTGTCTCTTCTATCCACCCCTCTATCTTTCCTTTAATAACTTCTTTTAGAAGGCAGTTTCTGCGTAAAACATGACCAATCCAATTAGCCTTCCGTTTTCTTATTTCGTGTAGGATATTCCTCTGCTCACTGACTCTAATTAACACTTCTTCATTTCTCACATAATCGGTCCAACTGATCTTCTCCATCCTTCTCCAACACCACATTTTGAAACTTTCCAGATGTTTCTGATCTATTGCCCTAAGTGTCCATGTTTCAGCCCCATACAGAGCTATGCTCCAAATGTAGCATTTCACTAGTTTCTTCCTCATAACAACTTTATTAAGTATTTGCAGTATGAAACTTAAAATCTTCATATGATACTTACAAAAGAAAAGTTAACCTCATTTTGTGGTATTCACACTATAAAGACTAACATCTGTATATGTTATTTACAGTACGAAAGTTGATGACTTTTTATGTGATATTTACAATATGAAATTTAACATGTTAATGTGATATTTGCAGTATTCAAGTTGATGTCTCTGTGGGCTGTTAAATTGAAGAGACCGAGGTGCATTACCATGTCTGTTAGCTACATGTGTTTGTATTGAAATGCAGGCTCATCAGGTAGAGCAGGAGGGGCTGGGTGACACAGCCGTGCTGCTTCAGACATACCTAGGACTTGCCTGGACACTGGGATGTGCTGCATTTGGTCTGGTGGTAGTCCAGAACTCTGTCGAGTGCCGCATTGCACGTCAGTACCTCTGTCAGGCTGCAGTGTTCATGTGTGGGCTATCCATCCTGGCATTGACAGCTGTCCATGGCAACTATCATGGCTATGTTATGTTCGCATGGATCTATGGTATTTTCTGCGGAGGGTATGTTGCTGCCTCACGTTTGTGAGGGCTTTAATTTGGATCTTTTGTTGAATATTCTGAGGTTTCATTGTGCTTATGTGCAGAAAGAGTGTGCCATAGCTCAAGCAGTTAGTCCCTGGCTTCCCACCGCGGCAGCCCGGGTTTGATCCCAGGTCTGATCAAGTGGGATTTGTGGTGGACAAAGTGGCGCTGGGGCGGGTTTACTCTGAGTACTTTGTTTTCCCCTGCCAATCTTCATTCCACCAAATTCTCCATCATCATAATCACCCGGGGCAGGCTACAATAGGCCAATCAGTGGCCGCTGCGCCGAGGGGACCCCGTTAGACTCCAATCCACAACTAAGCAAATTAAAAAAAAAATTATGTGTAGATATATCAGAATAGTACATTACAGATCATGATCACTTCATGTTATGTCCTGTCTCTGTGTTAATTATCCAAAATGCATGTCTTTTGGGGCTTTTAGATTATTAAACGTCTTCTCACGATTAACTTCGGCTCACAGTACGATGAGATGTATACACTGACAGTTTGTGTTCTTCATTGTGTCATAGGAACTGAGGTACCTTTGAATGTTAACATCATTTTCTGGCCTGTGATGCCTGTAAATAAGCAGACTGCCCCAAGCTGTAATTTCTCTGACGTGTAACCAGTTGAATCCAGGCCAGGGTGCTGACTATGCATCCTTCTAGTAAATGCTGGGCTAGTGTTTCATATTGGGCTGTGCCCGTGTCCTTTCGCATCCTTCCCAATTCATTTTTCAGTTACCATCCAATCATTCAGAGCCTGAGGACCTTGATTTATTATCCACCTTGAGGACAGATGTAGAACTGAATTATGGGTATGTATCTACATGACTACATGATGCCATGTCCCAGAAGTCCGTAATCAGATTTTCTTATTTTTCAGTGCGTAAAGTGTGTCACAGTTTTTGCCTACACTTTGTATTATTTCCTTTGTGATGAAAACAGTATGGGAAAAATATTGAAACATGAAATACATCTAGAATTTTGGATACAAAATAGTGACTTGTAAACCTGTTGACTGGTTTCTCTACAGGTACCATTACTCCCTCAAGATGTACACATATGAACGTGTGAGGGCACGCAACTTTGCGCGCACCTGGGGATTTGTGCAGTGCTCACAGGCTATCCCAATTGCTATTGGGGTTCCCATATCAGGTGAGTGTCTGCATCTTCACACTTGTCAATATGACCTCCAGATGTGTGCTTGCTGGGCCCATAATATTATGGGCACCTACAAGTATCTATACTGAGCCCATATCGTTATAGGCTAGACTTTGGAAATACTACAACATTTATTTTGAAGCACATAATAGGATTTTATATAGATATTTTAAACAAAACTGGATAGCAAGTTCTGACTAAAATATAACCTTGATTTTCTTTCCACAAGTGGTAATATGATTTTTGTTTCTTCTTCTCCCCTCTCTGTGTCTCGTGTGACTGTATTTATGTCCACTCTTCCTCTACTCTCTTGTGTATGTCTTCTGTCACTTGGTCCATAATCTTGCCCCTGGTTTTCCCAGTACTCATTTATTTTCCACCTCATTATTTGTGCTCTAAAAGGAGTCTACCTTGATCCTCATCCACAAAGGCCAATTTTTATTGAGAATGTGGTAAAAGGTAAAAAAAGGTAAACTTGTCCCTATGCTTCACTAATTAAGCACTACGCCATGAAGACGTATGGTGGAGTAAATGTATAGATCCACATTTTTTGTCTTTGGCACTAGTTGGAGGTGAGTGGTCAAGTTCACACCATGGCTGCTTTATCCCCTGGGAAAGAGCCCCTGGTACCCATTGGGTAGGAGTTTGGGTGGACTCCAGAGCCAGTCTGGATGACATGGAGAAGAGAAAATTGACTCTACAAATTCTTGACTCTACCGGGACTTAAACTCGAACCCCTCAATCATCTGGCCCATAGCCAGTTACTATACTGACTATGCTATCCCAGCTCCCTATTGAGAATGTGGTAACCAGACAAATATTTTGTTCACCAGGAGAAGGCAGATAAATACTCACTGCCAGCTTGCATAGGCTTTGGCCTCTGCTTGGCCTGCTGGGGTAGGTTCTTCCTGTTTTACTGTTTGTCCTAAACACATGCAGAATGTGTGTAAGTTCATGGGAGGAAAACAGAATTTGAAGGTGAGACTAATTGTTGTATGTTGATCTTAACTTCTGTGGATGTGGCTGGCCATTTCTTCTGTGCCATGTGATGTTGCCAGCCCTCAAAACCCTAATTGCTGTATGCCAAGTGGGAAATCAGTCATCAGCCAATATACGTGGGTTTCCATTGGTGGCCTAGTGACCTTATTTTCCAAGCCTTGCCCATCCATGCATCATTATATCCTTACTTTGTCCAACCATTACAGTGTTTCAACTTTCAGATTTTCTCTCGGTGTTTCTTCCTTCATTTACATGTGTACCGTAGAAGCTTCATTTTCACCAATTGCAAACTGTTTGATCTCTCTTCAATCAAGCCAGTGCCACATAAGACCCAGCAGCACTCGACTGCACTTGCAACTTGCTGTTATTCTCATATAATACAGGTTACATCAATGTTGGCTGTGGCGGTAAGGCAGGATACTACTTCAGCTCCACCTGTGTGTTGGTCGGCAGTCTCACACTCTTCTTTATTGACTTGCACCGACGGAACTTGGCACGGCACAAGCACACTCGCGCCAATGGCACACAGCACCTGTGTGTTTCTGAGACCTGCCCCCAGAGGCGGCGTCTCTCCTTCAGCCAAGAACCAGACAACAATGACCCAGGGGGTGGTATGATGGTGCCCCCTATGGTAGCAGTGGGTCCCAGTGCAGGGGCAGATCAAGTGGCAGGGGCACCTTTACCAGCAGAGCTACTGGGGGGAGCAGGCAACTTGCTGCTTGCGACAGGCGACAAGCCGGAGCTGACCTGCATATCGGAGGAGGGCATAGCGGACATGGACCTTCCCGACAATTTATTGGATGACCTGGACTACATAGGGGACTGCATTACATCATGTAACAAGGTAATGGGGCATATGGATCTGGTAGATGATTTGACATACACAGCAGTGTTAAATCATGAAACGAGTTACATATAAGGACATTACATCAGCACTGATGTTTGAATCTGAGCTGGGAACTTCCTCTTAGGTTTGCACAGTGTTGAATATTACAACATCTTCATCTGGAATGTCATGGCGTGTAGTCTGGTGGATAAGTACAAACCTGCTGCCGCCAGCTTCAGGTTATAAGTGATACATATAGATGGAGATGCACTGGAACTGGTGACATGCACTGCCATTCACTGCTACAGGCAGTTTCACATTAGTACCGAAGTGAGATACACCCTTAGAATTGTACTTTATTTGTGCCACTGTGTCTGCTAGGTATCCTATGATTTGATTGGCTGACACTTAAGAGGCTGGTTTTATATTGCATGTAGTTCACATACATGTCAGCAGATGGCACAACAGACAGTGTATAGAATTAGTCTTGTCAACTTCTGAACCAAATACAATGAATGTTTACTAAAACACATGAAAATCAGAGTTCAGGAGTGAAATATTTTTCAGCACTACCTCTTAGTGGCATTAAACAGTTTTCCAAACTGAGTACTGTGTGTTTGCAGGCCATAATCATGAACCTCAGGATTACTCAGTCACAATTACATATAATTTTAGGTTTGTAAAGTACTTTTCCAAAGTTCAGATATATTTAAATGAAGTGTCAAAATAAAGTAATAATGTAATCATCATCATCAGTGGCAAGACGCCCCTTTTTGAGCCACAGCCCTCCTTAGAGGATTCTGCCGGATTGCGTCCGGCTTTTACTTCTTTGGATTTTGCAACAGTGATTTTTTTACGGAGCAAAGGCATCAGCCTTGCATCCAACCCCTGATCTGAAGGGCCAGGTCTCTGTATTCATGTCCCCCAGTGACAGGGTGGACCAGTTATACCCTCAGGCATTGGATTCCCTTATTGTTGCCCTCTACGACTCTCAGGGCTACAGTGGAGGCATTCTAACCCAGGTCCACGTGGGGAAAAATAATAATATTAACAAGTCCAATACATTTATGACTTGCCTTGGGTCTGTGAACAGTTATCATCAAAACTCATGTTACATTGCAGGTTGAGAACTACTTAATGCTGAGTGAGTTTGAGAACAACCTGATTGCTGAGATGCCGGTGATCCTGGACAGGAAAGGGCGGCGCTGGTCTGTCGCCAGGTGAGCTAAGTCATGCAGCCAATCCCTTCTAACACACAGCAACATCACAATTCCAGTTTGGGGCCCACTGAGGTCTCTGTTTGCAACCTTTGTTTCATTTACTGCAGAGTGAGACTTGTTCTCAAGAGCACAGGTATCTCGCTGCACAGAAGAAAAAACCGTTGTTCCTTAGAAATCTGCTAAATACTCGTAGACACTCTATCAAAAAATATTTCATATGAAAGTTGACAATGCTTATGAGTCTATATTTTTTGTCATATACAAATCTTTTATACAGTAGATGCGAGAGTGTGCTGCCTGATCAGGGCTGTTATATTTCTGGGACCCCAGAATCAAATTTAATTAAAACCACAGAGTTTTCAAGACAAGACATCTAGACAGATTCATCGGTATTTAAATACACATGCTTCTTCATACTGTTACGTGTTAGGGTGTGTGCGTGACTTATAGACGGGATTTTGGTTTGGATGATTGGATTTATTGACAGGGCACTGTTACACACACACACACACACACACACACTTCAAAACAGCACTTATACTGGTCTCACTGTCATTGCAACATACTATGGAGCCTTCTTTTCACAGCCTAATTCCATTCTTGCCATTTCTTGTCAATTATTCTGCCAACTTCAGATACTCTCAATTCTCTGCTGCAGTCACTGACTCCTAATTGTAGCTGCCAAAGATCCTCATTATGTAGCCTTGGCGCAGCCCCCACAGAAAACAGAAGTTACTCTATTGTTGCATGTTGATTCAATGTAGAGATGTGTTTACTACACCATAGCGTAACAATGAGCACAGCACTGACCACAGAGAACACTGATCTTCTGTTGTTGTATGCATTCACTTCTGCAGGGGTGTTTTTACCAAGTCGTTGCCTAGCAATGAACTATTCTGGCTTTCAGGCATCATGTCACAGTATTTTAAACTGATATGTGAAAATCAAGTGTTATTCTCTAGTTTCACAAATTTTATGAGTTTGTCTGTGTTCTGCAGGCAGAACACACGACCCACGGATGACATGACCACCGAAGTGAAGGTGGATGAGGGGGAGCCAGCAACGGGAACAGGGACTCACCATGAGGCGCGACAGGGTTCTCGGGAGCTGCCCCCATTTCGAGCAAGCAATACCTGGCGCCTCATGTCAGGCCCAAAGCGAGTCATCACTGTCATTGACGAAGCATCTGTGTGATGAAAGAGGCAATACAAATAATAAGGAAAGTACCCTCACAGGCACCATGTGGCTGTCTGTCTGGTGTGCTTGAGATGCCACGCAGAACAGTAGCGCTGCTGTCGACCACCGGTGGAGAAAGAGGAAAGGAAACGTGTTTGTATTTGTATGTGAGGGGCTGACCAGTACTATGAAGTTCTGCCCCTGCTCAGGTCAGGCACCACTGCAACATGCAGCCACATTTGGATCTCAGAAGGTCACTGTTAAGATTATCAGTGGTTTCATAGTTTGGATGCTGCCGGTGTATTCTCATTTGACCTCACAGCACTACCAGGCTTGTATATGTTAATGCACTCACTCTGTAATCAGCCAAATGCTCGGTCAGAACAAAACCCCAACTTGAAGTGCAAGAATGTGATAATGTGCTGCCTGGCCAGGGCTATCAGGGTAAAAAAGAGTTATGTATTTAAGTTTTTGGTCTGTTAATAGTATCACAATAAGCTGAGCATTGACAAAGGGGTACAGATGTGGGGAGAAGGGGGGCCAGAACACATTCTTTGAGCATGCCAATAGGAGTAAGGGAAATAGTTTGAAGAATGAAGAAAGCAGTCTTCTGGGATTTGGCACCGTGTATATGTGGTGTTAACCGACGTTTCGGAGGACCGTATCGCCTCCATCTTCAGGGTAGAAGAAAAATATAAGAAATCTGCAAGCGAAGAGACCGTGAGAATCGGTAAAAGCACAGTCTGCTCCTCCGAAACGTCGGTTAACACCACATATACACGGTGCCAAATCCCAGAAGACTGCTTTCTTCATAGTCATCGCCGTGAAAGCCTCAAATCTTACATAGTTTGAAGAATATTGTCTCTGAAATGGCCCATTTTCCACTCATTGGGAAGGACAGGAAATTAAGTAGCGTCCCTTCACTTTGTTCTCCTTCTGTTGGTTGCTCAGAGCCCTGGGCCTCACTGTCCTTGTATGTGTACTACTTTCTTCTCATTCTGGGCTTATGTTCTGCCCTGAAGATGGAGACAACAGTTCCTTCAAAACATTGGTAGCAGTCTACCTTACTACACAGCATCACATCACAGAAAACATTAACCTTCATGAAATCAACATGGCTGTGAATGCTTCAAAGAAAAGATGCATCAGAACTCAATGTTATATTTCTTGACCAGCCCATGATGTTTTAAGTTCCCACTCTCTGTGTCAGTATCCCATACTTTTGTAGAAATGCAAATTGGGATGTGGTCGTCTCACTGTGGCGGACAGTCATAACTCACTGTTCCTTGGTGCCATGGGGACAGCCTTCTGGGTTTGCGGCCAGCTGCACTTGGGTATATACATTTGTATTGCTGCAGCAGGCTGGTGTTCCTGTCATTTGTTTCGGTTCAGTAGTTTGATGTGAGCTCAGTTCAGTGGTAATGTTTGTCTTTTATGTGATGTACTTAAGAAGTAATTCTTATTTGTAATTTTTGTTGTGTTGTTGTTTATGTATGGCAGATGTCTTCCTTCCTGATTTGCTCACCAGGATCAGTGATTGAAACACAGTAATTATGAACAATTTATCTAGCATGCTGTTGTGTGTTGACAACAATTTTGAATAACTGCTGAAGTGTCATCAGTCATCTTTATGTCTGTTATCAACTAGCAATGCATCAACATAATTTCTCTAGTGTAAGTTAGATGTAAGAAAAGTGGAGAAGTTCACGTTCTTACATTTAAAAGCATTTTGTACTGAGGCCATGGAAAGGTGTCCCCTCTGCACAGTATTATAATCCCTTCCAGCCCTCTCTGGTCTCTGTAAGCCATTACAAAACACTTCAGTAGTGATCGTTATGACTACCAACATCTGTATGGACACACTAGCTAAGTGAATGCAGAGCAATGTAAAGAATAATAAAGCGAATGCGCACAATGTGCATAGAGTAATTGTTTTTATTCGCGACTGTAGTCGGTTATTGATGTGGTTAAGTTTTTGCATATGGTAATGTGGCATCTACTGCACTTTTTATCACAGTGTTTACACACACACGCGTCATTTGCTTCGTGGAAATGTTCGTTCTTGCATATCTTGTGGTGGAATCCGTGTGTTGCCAACCTAGTAATTGTGTGTCGTAATTTTCTGTTGGGTCCTGTCCAGGTTCTGTCAGTCATTGCATCAGTGCTGTAGAACTCTTCCCATATTTCCTCTCTTTTTTGTTTTCTTTCTTTGATAACTTCCTCTGAGTTTTTTGTGCTTGGCAGTTGATATCTGAGTTCTTCTAATAGGAAATTTTCCTTGCAGAGTTCGTATGTTAGTCTGGATTGTGTGTTCTTAGGAAGCCCTAGCGCTAGTTTAAGGTATCTTGCCTTCACTTGTTCTATTTTCCGCAGGTTTTGTTTGGATAGTTTTTCCCAGGTTATCTCTATGCCATATAGTAGTATGGGACAAATTTTTGCATGGAATATTTTCATTGCTGTTTCTAGCGATAATAGTTGCAGGTTTCGGATGGTGTATATAGCTTTGATGGCTGCTGTGCATTTTTCTGTTATGTGTGGTGTGAATGTTGTAGATGTAGACTGCAGTGTTAAGCCGAGGTATTTATATTGTTTTACTGATTTTATGTGTTCTCCATTAAATTTTATTTCATCATTTTTTCCTTTTCTGAAAGTCATTAGTTGGGTTTTGTTTTTATTTATTTGAAGTTTGTTTTGTCTTGCCCAGTTCTCCAGTGTAGTGATATCATCGGCATACATAATTAATTGTACCCCTGTGTGTTTTTCCATTGTTTTGGCCAAGTCTGCTGTTGTAATATTTAATAGCAATGGGCTGAGGGGGTCCCCTTGCAGTACACCATTTGTTTGGGTTATTTCTTCGGATTCTGACACCGTGTCTTTTATTATGATTTTATTGTTTTTGAGGATGTCTCCTATTAGTCTTCTTGTTGTGTTTTCTTCTCCTACTATTTCCTTCAGTTTTGTTGTGATTATACTCCTGTTGAGTAGGTCGAATGCCTTGCTATAATTATAGCAAGGGAGAGAGACTATGGTACCCATTTGATAGGTTGGGTGGGCCCCAGAGCCAGTCTGGATGACATGGAGAAGGGAAAATTCTTGATCCTACCGGGACTCGAACTCCAACCCCTCATACATCCNTGGTAGTTGTTCGGGTCTTCTGGATCGCCTTTTCCCTTGTACAGTACTTTCATCAGGGATTTTCTCCAAATTTGTGGTATGGATCCAGTTTCGAGGCATCTGTTGTATAGTCCCGTTAGTGGTTTTGATATAATGTCCTTTGCTTCTTTTATATGTTCATAATATATTCCATCTGGTCCTGCGGCTTTCTTGTTTTGTGTTCTTTTTATAGCTTTTAATACTTCTGCATGTGAGATTGGTTGACATGCCCTGACGTCGTCCGTTCGGGAGCCGCTGGTGGGTGTATTTTGGCTGAGTATCTTGGTGAAATGCTGTTCCCATATCTTTATATTTACTTCTTGTGGCATTTGTTTCTTCGTTGTTTTGGTTGCCACGAACGGGTCTTTCTCGGCTTCTTCGGCTATCATTTTCCCTTCATTTTCGATGTGTTC